GGTATTTACTTCATCTGTGGAAATTTCGTTGTACGAACGGCCTCGTAGTCACCTGAAATAAAATGAAACACGATTAATTTCTGCTCGACCCCTAGATCTTTCCAAAAAGGCAAGATCTTTTTGAAAATTAAAGGATGTCTTGATGAAATTGATTATGTGATGAAATTATTATCTGATGATTTATGTATGACCCTCATAAGTATCGGAAATAGCGAATTTTTACGCATGCGAGATGTAAAAACAGCAATTTTTACACATTTGTGATACGAGAGCGCATTTTTCAAGGACTATTAGTAATTACTAGAAAGTAAACCGTTGAACCTATTAGAAAATTTTGTTTAACAGAAAAATCCACAGCTTAACGATTAGTAGATTATGGATATTTATTCTCTGCATTTGTTGCAAAAAACAGCAGCGATTTCAAGATTTCCATCTTTCTTCAATAATTTCTACGAGTTGAAAACGGTGTATTGGTAATTTTCGATTATTTAAATTCCAGCACTGCTTGAAATCTGTTAATTTTGCTCATAAAGTTTAGCAATGGTTCTCGATCAGTCTCAAGGATCACGATATATCGCAGAACAATGAAACAGCATTCTTGAATCAGCAAACTCGCAATGAATGACTCCATTGTCACGATCCATCGGGAGACATTGCCAGCGATAGAACAAAGCCGGGGAGTAATACTAATCGAAGAATACGTCACGGGAAACAGAATGGCACGTCTCGGAATATCGGAAGCAAACAAAAATGGCGGCCCGTGGCAGGAACCGGAACACGCGTCAACACGTCATCACGGCCGAAATGTTGGCAGATGTTTGCACGGGTTGCTAATGTAATTTCGTTTGCCCAGGGAGTATCGAATGTTGTCAACGGGAATCCACGGGAATGCTTAAACGATCCCGACGCGATCGTGCAGCTGTTTCACCGAAATACGCAGCAACATCTGACGATGGTATCGCAAACTCGTATACTAATCCTCAAAATATAATTGTAGAGGAACGTTGAAGGGCATTTCCGAGACGATAATTTCATTTCGTGTTCTTTCAGCCTGTCCTTCCGGCTTAATTGTACCCTTCGCATAACTGATTATAATTTCCTGTATTTGTTTATTTTCGAACAACGTTCGTTCGATTTATCATACATTTGTGTTCAGCTGTTTGTCCATCGTTTCGCGCAGTGTAAAGAAAATCCATTAAATAAGTGAACAAATGCGTTAAAAGAAAATATGATCTTGTAACTAAACAATGCATCTATATATCCCAAAAATGATTAGCCAGATATAGTAAATAGTTTTCTAGAAAAAAAATCATAAAGATCGCTATAATAACAGTTACACGAGAATGCATTTTCTGAAATCAAGTTTACATGTTCCTTCGAAGACACACTGTCCATTAAATAAATTAACAAATGCAACTAACAATAATGTTCTCTTGTAGCTAAATAATGCATCTATACATTCTAAAACCGATTAGCCAGACATAGTGAATAATTTTCTAGAAAAAAAATCGTAAAGATCGCTATATTATAACAGTTACACGAAAATGCGTCTTCTTGAAATGTTTCTCCAAAGTTCATGAAAAAATGAACAAATGCAGCTAACAATAATGTTTTCTTGTAGCTAAACAATGCACCTATACGTCCGAAAATCGATTAGCCAGACATAGTGAATAATTTTCTAGAAAAAAATTCAGGAGGCCACAAATTTTGTTCCAGTGAGATCGAATTCGAGTTGAACCTTATCTAGAAAAATTCGCAAGATGAACACATGAGAAACACACTGATCGCTAATTGGCCCCGACCGTTTCTCGCTGGCCCAGCCAATTTAAATATCCCTGGCCGAGGGAATTGCACCTGGCGAAAATAATAGAAGTAACCGGTGAGCCCATTACGGAGTCGTTTCCCCCGTAGACATCTAATTTACAGGAACGCGCCTTGTCGAGATTAATCGCCGGCTCGGACACACACCGGCGCTAATTAACTTATCGCTGGCCGACGCACCCGCGGCGAGCGGCTCGATCCAGCTCCGCGAGGATCCACGGAAATAATAATAAATACGGCAGCGTCGATGGAATAATAAATACGCGGCCGATGGGCATAAATCCTTTTCCCATTAACGCTTGCATTTCACCGATTTCCCGAGACTTGTTTATCATTCGCTAACCGACCGCTAACTACGATCGTGTTGCCTCGAATAAAATCGGGATTTATGGGCTGCATGGAAATTGCGATCGGCTGATCCTTCGGTTGACCCTGGCCACCGGGATCTAGGGATCTTCGGGATCTGGGGACTCCAGCAGCTGGCATAAATCAAGCTGGATAAATTAATTTTCTTCAGGCGACCTGCTGCAACGCGCGGAAAAAATGAGGTGGGGCGTTTAGGATTTTTCTTTGTTGAAAACTGTGTGTGTGTTTTTCTTTCGAACTTTTATTGGCTTTCTATAGTTCTTGGAAGATAGAAGATAGCAGTTCATTTAAAGAAGCGTGTTTTCAGCATCTTGTAGGGTTCTATTTATTGAATTAATTTCCAACTTATTGTCGCAGTTTCACTGCGGTACACCGAACGTTTTGAAAAATTATATTCTAATAATATTCTAGTAAAATTAATAATAATAATTTTATTCATGTAGACGGGTGAAAAATTCCTTTGTAATCAAAAAAGAAATGAAAAAATGAGATCTTGTATAACCACTATGACAATAAAAACACATATATAATACATATATAACAAAATGCAAATACATATATAATGACACAATAAAACAAGTAAGAAGAAAAAGTAAGATATAGTGTAGTATATACGCATAATAAACATATACTAGATAATAATAAACTAGATATACATACACATATAGTATTACAGTCGATATAACAAAAGTTATTATAAACTCAATATACAACTATAATATATACTGACAACAGAAAAAGCTAGCTCACAAAACAATGTATAAAAACATCAAAAATTTAACCAGGGAGTTTTCGAGATTCTACCTGCGCCAGGTGCGAGAGTCACAAACTCACACGGAATCGTCACGGCTACATTACGTCGACGAATTCGATTACAAAAATGTACGAAAATACTCTCAAAGCTCTATTAATAATAGATTAATAATCTATTAATAATAACTCTATTAATTACCAAAATTAAATGACGAGAACATGAAATCAGCGTCTCGAGGGCACATTTCTCGTTACTCCGAAGATCGAGGAGCTCTCTGCAGCGCGATTCGAGATCGACGGGATTCGATCGTGTGATTCGAGGATCGACGAGATCTCGACTGTCGGGATCGAGACAGACATAATAGAGTCCTTTCGAGCCAGGATCCAGGAGGTCGAGGACAGTCGCAGGCCGATCCGTCACCGGCCGTTCGACGCACTTGTAAACCGTTTTCACGGCGTCGTAACTTGTACCGATCAATGACCATTTCCGCGATGATCGCGGTGAATGGCACTCGCGAGACCGTCGGACGCGACGGTAGAGGAAACGCGATGACAGAAGTGATTCAGACATTGTTCGGCCCTCTGTAATTTAACGGCGCGCCGAATGGCAGCGACGTTCCACGACCATTTTACGACCGGCTCTTCCCGAGCGGCGCTCTGGAAACAAAGTTTCCGCGTTAACCGGAACTTTTCAGCATTCGACGTGGGGAAAAAGAACCGGCGAATTACACTCACGGTGTCCGCCGATACCCGGCCCTCCGGCATCCGAACGAACGGATCTAATCGCAGCGAGATCGCATCGCTAACAGCCGCCGGTCGAACGATTTATTCCGTCATGGATTTCGATGCGCGATCGATCGTTAGATCCCAATCGGGAATTATTGTGTCGATGGATCAGCACAGTGATTCATATCGGTTTTCAGATCATCGATTGTGACGAAATAAAAATTGTATTCATTGCAAGGTACGGAAACTTATGTTCGGCAACGACGTCAATTTCCTTTTTAGAATCGCGTCGTTTTTGATTAATTTTTCTTTTCTATTCTTGACTTAACAACGGTATTCTATGTCCGATAATTTATTATTTATTATATTGTCAGTACTACATATTCATATTTGTTATATATACTACACTATTTTTTGTATTTTCTTCTTACTTCTTGTATTGTATCATTATGTGAATATTTTTATTTTTATTGCATTCGTGTGACGGTTATACAAAATCTGTTTTCTTGTAAAAAAATATTTTTACTCGTACATATATATGATATTAATATTATGTATTATATGCAATATTAATATTATATATAATATGCAATATTAATATTATATATATATATATAATATGCAATATTAATATTATATATAATATATATTACTCATATACATATGTATACATATGAATAAAATTATTCTTACAACATTTTAGTGAAAGAATTACAACTGACAATGATGACTAATAACGATGACGATTTTCTATCAACGATCTGCGATCATCCACGCCGGCGATAAACGATTATTAAACGCCCGTTTATTACAATGATTAGAACAACAAGCACTAGCTGTCGTTTCTCGCATTCGATGCGGAAAATTTAATCACAATCTCGAGTCGTTAGGAAACGGCGCCTGTACGGCTGACCGCGGTAATTCATTAACATCGCGTCGCCAACATTGAATTCTCGTTGACGTCGAGAGCCAGCGTTATCGGCTCGTAGACTATATTTACCAACCGCGCGAATTAATGATACGCATCGTCCAATTACTTTCGAATAAAACGCGGACAGGTGTTTGCACGGCGCGGAATTTATCGGACGATATCATCGGCCGTACTTTACGCAGTAGCTCAGCTATAGTAATTTAGTAAAATGCTCGCCGGACCGTGGAAAAAGAGACCGAGTCGAACGCGACAGAAGCACGGGACCGGTAAAAATCGAATTACCACGTATTTTAATCTCGCCGGTTAATCGATTGGTCACGATCGTAGATCAACGACCGCCCACGCAGACGATCGCGGCTATAAATACCGATTCCTGTACCTTTCTCTATAATAGTAATCGGTGTGCCGTTGTTCTTGATCGACACAGTGAAATATTTATCAGGGAATTTGTTCCTTTGTCTCAATTATCTTCGTATCACCCGGCTCGATCGAAAGAGAGAGAGAGAAAGAAAAAGAGAGAGAGAGAGACAGGTTTTAATCGAAAAGCCTGGCCGGATCGTTAATACCCGAAGCTAGTTCGATGTAATTTATTGTCGTTCTTCCAGCTGCGTGTCGGGTAATATTTTTTTAATTCGATCGATGTGCCGCGGCTTTTAATTGGACTCGAACTTCCATCCGCTTTTCCAGTGTCAATATCCGACCGGTTCCATTTCGATCGTATTGTATTTTTCATACGCGAAGTGGGCGCTGAAACTTCGTCTCGCGATTCTCTCATAGCTTCTCCTAATTCGTCTTCTAGAAATACTATTCTTTTCGCTCCTCCAACTACGCTTACCTTCGTTTGCTTTTAGACGGTTCGTCTTTCTCGCGAGTTCACCATCCATGGTCCGACTTGCACGCTGGCACCCTAGAATTTTGATAATTAACGTGATTGATAACAGCGACGAGTTTATTATATGATTAAATCGTGGACGTTTGTACGATCGTGACAGAGGCAAATTTTTTGAAGGAAACGTGTAAGCTGAGAAAAATTCATGAAAGAATTATTTCTGTTATTCTGGTTCTGAGAAAAAATTAGTAATGATTAAACAGCGAATTCCTACGTTCGTACCTAAATTTTTTCGAACCAGAATAATAGAAATAATTCTTTCATGAATTTTTGCCCGATCTATTTTTGTTTCATGCCAGAGATACAAGGGTTACTTCAGAGTGCTGTAACTTCGCGAGAAAAAATCGCAGTCAAGTTTCTTTCCTTTTATATTACAGGGAAAGGATCGATCTTCATTTATCTGCGAACGAAATTTTCGAAAAAAATTTCACAAAGTCTGTGCATTTCGTCAAACTTGGCAATTTTCAATACGACGAACATGGACTTATATTTGAAGGGTTACTTTAAGTGAGAGTGAGGGCAGTGAGCGTGCGTCAAACTTAAAATACAGGAAGATCATCTTAAAGTAGAGATTTCAAGCTTTAATTTAAAAGAAAATTGATCATCTTGCGATGATTTTTCGCGGAGTTATTTACCAAAATATATGCAGTGTATTCTTATTCACGTATCACGATTCCTAAGGTCGCGAACGAATCTGCGGCAATTAAAAAAATTTGGATCGCACGGTCGAATGATTAGAGAATGTCTGCAACACACTGAGGAATTTGAGTAGCCTCTGAGCGAGCAACAGCTGTCCCGTGCGAGTTCCCAGCAGCAGGGTTTAATGAAATGTTGTCCCGCGAATATGAGGTCCCCGAGAAATCGTGAAAACGTGTTCTTGCGTGGAAGGCAAGAAGGTTTCCCTTCTGGCACGTTTTTTCCCCCGGTAATGGACATCGAACCACCGCCTCTGATCCCGACCGATCGGGAATCGGATGGATCGAGCGACGGATCGAGCGACGCGGCTCGATCGTCGTGTCTCTCACCGCCATGGGAACATTTTCCCCGTATCCGCGGCTGGAAAAAGCGTGTAACGCGAATAGCCGGATCAGAAACTGGTATCTCGCGATCAATATTCATTCTGCTTCTTACCCCTCCACCTATCATTACGATTTGTTTCTCGTCCCTTCTATTTTCCGCGTTCCTGACCTCCTCCTCCTCCTCCTCCGCCGCCGCCGCTGCCTCTTCTTCTTCTTCTTCTCGAACGTCTTCTTACTTAACCGGGCATTCTTCGATCTAATCTTCTCTACACGACGATCCAGCGACCAGTTGATCCGATGAATATACGCGACCTGAGAAGAAAATGTCCTCGTTAGATCGCTTCGCGATGGGAAATCGTGCCGAGTCCTGTTGAAAATTATTCCGAATTTTGCCACTCTTCTTTTATTCATCGCCCGGCAACTGAACTTCTCTACGAGAATATTTCCGCTGTTTTTCAGATTTAATCTCAGCGTCGAAAATTTCGTTCGAACGCGACGGACTCTATTGAAATGCTTCGAATTTAAATCAAACGTTTTAGACTTCGTTTAAACGCTTCAAATATAAATAAAATGTTTTAGACTTCGTTTAAACGCTTCAAATTTAAATAAAATGTTTTAGACTTCGTTTAAACGCTTAAGATTCAAATAAATCATTTCAGACTCGATTTAAGTGCTATTCGTTTAAATAAAATATTTCAGACGTGATTTAAACGTTTCAAATTTACATAGAACGTTTCAGACTTAATAGAAATGCTTTTTAAATTTAATTAGAACGTGTTGGACTTTATTGAATCGTTTCGAATTTAAATAAAACGTTCCAGGCTGAATTTAAATTAAACATTTCAGACTGAATTTAAATGAAATATTTCAGACTCAATGTAAATAAAACACTTTAGACTTACTTTAAATACCTAAAACATAAATCAAGCGTGTTAAAATCATCTTAAATACTTAATTTACATAAACGCTTAAGCTTTAATTTAAATACCTACAATTTAGTTGAAATGCGTCAGACTCAATAGAAACACTTCCAATTCAAATAAAACATGTCACACTTGATTTAAACGTTTCTAATTTTGATTTATTTGAAAGATCGCATTGAAGAAGATTGAATTGTGTATCGATTGATGACACAGTGCAGTGATTTAAAAATCTTGGAAATCGATCGTGATCGTTTCAATGAATTATCCTATGAATCTGTTTCTCCGCGAACGAGTCCGAAAATAATCTCAAATTACTTGCAATCTTAGTTCACATCATTACTAATTTCTAATCAGTCGCGAAGTAACGAGCTAAGACCAATGAAGCATCGAAGGAAACTGAAACCGCGAATGCTGAACGGGCTTACCCTGATTCTTAATTTAGAGTTAAGGTTCCGTAACGCGGACCGAATTACAAAATGGCGGTGAACAATGGAGCGGAGAGGCTGGCGAACGGTGGCAGTCGCGCACCGAAAACGTGTCGCAATTAATAAACGAGCCGCAGCGGCCGAGTTGCGACCGCTCAATTTTCCCGGGCAATTATTCAGACGACTGCGTGAATAATTACTCGCTATTCGGCCGGTTTGCCGCGCTAAGTGGGCCGGCCGATCGCTATCTTAATGGCCCGAGCCGTTTGATTAACCGTTGATTATTCAATTAAGGGAAAGTATTTCGTCACGCTCAATTGAATGACCGCGTGCAGCTATAATAAAACACAATGCTCGCCGGGCAACTTGCCTAATGAAAGTTGCATCGATCGATTATGGTGCCGGGCATTAGATATCAGATACTTATCGCACGATTCGTCGTTTTTCCACGGTCCGGCGAAACAATGCGCTTTCCACGTGAATACTGACCCGCGGACGTGCATCTTTGTGTCGTTGATAGTTTCTAATTGGATTACAAAGTGCACTCGAGAGTCTGAATACATTGTTTCCGAGATTTATAGTAGATTTTTAGAAGAAACGCTTTTATTTAATAAAACAAAAATTCTAATAAAATGAAAACTCTTTGTATTTTGTTCAGGAATATTTTTCACGATTATTGAAACTATACAGATGACTTTGTTCGTATAATAATAGACTGCGGATTTTATGTATTTGTGAAAAAAAATGAAAAGATCGAATACACGAAACTGTAAAGACAATATAAGAATTTAAGGTTATTTGTTACAATTATCAAAAGAGGAAATAGATTTTGATCTTACCTGTGTTCCTTACAATTAACTTCGACAATTTATGTTTTGTATAATGATCCGCGTTCCAATAATAGCAAATAACTGAAACTTCACTTTTGGGAGTGATTTTTTTGAGCGTGTTCGGATCTCGAATTTTTATACCTTAGAGGTAATTTTAACTTTCGAAATTCAGAAATCGTTTTTGAGGGATCAGTTCGCAGATGTCAACAAAATGTTCTTTCTCTTATCAGACCTTCTATTATATTCCAATAAAGACAGAAAGCTAATTGCACATTGTTCGACACTCACCTATACTAAGATGCAGAAGCTGCAAGATGCAGCAACTGCATACGTTCAGCCAGGTGCTTATCTCGCCAGTCGTAGCACGGTCTGAAACAAGATTAATAATTTTAGTAAAGTTCGTTACGAATTATTAATAATTTCTTAATTTACCAATTACCCAGAAGAAAAATTCGAAAAAAAACCGAAAAGTGTATCGACTTAATCCCAACGACGCATTCCGACGCTTTCGATCATGCCGAGCATGAAGCGAAGGTGGAGGGGTGAGAATGAAGGAGAAGGGTGAAGGAAAGAGCACGAGGATATTAACTAATTCCATTCGATTAAAACAACTAAGTCGAGGAGGAGAGGCAAGAACTCTGGGACCGTCTCGACAGACTTGTTCACGTGGCGCGGGAACTCGTGCTTGCTTCGTCACCCTCGAAGCCACAATTTCTTCACACTAATTACCGATCCGTCCCGCCCACCTGACAAGTGAGAAAGTGTGAAACAACTCGGCAGGCAGAGACCGGACCCCGCCGACGTCCAGACCGACGACAATCGACTGTGATTTTCGAGCCACGATCGTTCACTCGCGGATAAAATAAATCGCTTCCTTCCACATTTCCATCTGCCATCATAAATCTTGCGGCGCCGCTCATGTAAATATTGTGGCAGCGGTGACCTGTGCACGATTGCAAACTGCGTAAAACATTTCGCGTCTACGAAACGTCTCAGAAACATTCGACTGAATTCTTATGTTCTGGAAAATTCCATTCAATTTTTCCAGTCTGTAAAATTCTATTCAATTCTTCCAGTTTATAAAATTTCATTCAATTTTTACAATGTGTATAATTCAATTGGATTTTTCAATGTGTAGAATTTAATTGAATTTTGACTTACTGATTGGAGAATTGTTTTAACATTCAATGCAGAAACTTGTTTTTAAAATTCTTGAATACAATGCATACAGTTGATACGCAAAAACCGCTTGGGTAACTGCTTTGAAAATTCATGAAATATTCAATGCAGATACTTGTCCCAACGGATGCAACTAGAATGCACGTTTCTAGCGCACTTGTGACGTATAAAATTCTTGAAAATCCTGTAAAATAGAACGAATTATTACAATTTCATACAGTTATATCCTATATGAATCCATTCAAATTATTATAGAACGAATACAAAATTTAATACTGGACTAATTAGTTTCTCCGATTAAACCGTGTATCTTATGCATTTTATGCATTTATGGCATTCTTGACTCTTTCTCAACACAAGAAATGCGTTTAAAAATTCGACAAAAAAATCTTCCTATTTATATTCTAATAAAAATTCCATAGAATCTAAATAAATTCAGTCTAGCTATTTTTACAAATATTTAATGTCAAATTATATAATAATATAAATATTTTAATACATATTGTGGTTTGGCTACTTTACTGTTAAAGATACATCGAGATTAGAACATTCTATGGTGTCAGGGATTTTTCCATGGGGGAAAAGGATTGAACGTAACTATCAGGGTTCAAAGATGGTCCCCGTGATGTTCAAGGAGGTCATGGTTGGGTTCACGAGGGAGTCGATCTGGGCCGATTCGTTCGGCACGAAGACCGGGATAGAGAGATCGATTTACGTGAATAATGAGACGAAGAAGAAACTTCCTCGTCGATAAATTTAACGCGTTACGGAACCGCGACCGGCACTTTGCCCGAAGAACAAGAGTGTTCCACGTCGTTAGACTCCGAGGTTACGTCCGGGGTTCGAGAGAGTCCCATGGTGGTCCCCCCTTCGACCAGGTGGCCAGCCCCCATCGATGGTAACTAATTAAATCATGAAAAAGGCGGTGAACGTGCGTCCTACAGTTTTTACGAAATTAATAAACCGGAACCGGCAGTGGCTCTCAATGTCCCCTCGGGATCAGAAATTAGAGGATTCGTCAAACCAATTAAGGAAGATAGGAATTACATGGAGAGATTAAAAGTTACGCTCAAGAATTACATGCTGTAGAGTGTAATTACTATAGGAGCACATGACACGATAAGAACGGAGCGATGTTATTCCTTTCAGTTTTCAGAATTATTCCCGTTACGCTTTTACCGAGGTCAGACTAAATTTTCATTTTGTACATTAATGTCTGTCTAACTCTAGAAGTGTTCTGAATATCAATTAACTGTTCCCAATTCGATTCGAATGGTTCAATTTATATTTGAGTATTTTAATCTTCATTTAAATGTCTCGAATTTGAATAAAACGTTTCAGACTTAATTTAGGTGCAATCAATTTCAATAAAACATTTGACACGATTTAAATGTCTCTAATTAACACGGAACGTTTCAGACGTACTCGAAGTGCTTTCTAAATTTAATTCGAACGTATCAGAGGCAATGTAAGTGATTGGAAATGAACGAGAATATTTCATACGTGGAATACGTCGCGACGGATTATGCAAGAGGAATTTCTGTGCTGGTTCTTTCGATTCCAGCCAATTTTTCGGTAACGTTTTAAGGTACGGTGTACGGGGAGCAGCGGAACCATAGGGGCGGGAGATCTTAAAGCGTTGTTAGAAGCGTGACAAATACATTTAACACCTACTTTCAAATTACTCAGCATGACGCTACAGAAAGATTGGCTCGCCCGTGGCAAAAACCACCAATTTCTTCGTTGATCGCCCATCCGCCTGGTAGTTTGCATCTCCGCAAAGGAGTTTTTGCCGTAGCCGACTCGCGCCGCGTCGAATCGATAAAGTATTAATCGAAGTGACCATGG